ACTCAGTAAAAGAGAACTACTGTTGTTAATGCACGAGAAAGAGGAGAGGGAAACAAGATTATAAACCAGGCATTGTATTAGTGAGCTACATATTTCATCTCCTAACTCTCAAGCAAAATGGGTAACAGTATTCCCATTTTACATACAAGCAAACTAAGCCTCTGAGGTACTCAGCACTTCAAAGCTCTGTTCTCCTCTCCCATGTCTGGAGGGCCCACATTCCCTACTTGATTGAGTCCCCTACCTGCCAAAGAGCTAAAAATGCATATCAACTTCAGTTTTTCCCTTGAGGTTAGGATGTGGCTTTAACTAAAAGTAACTCAACCATAAGCAATGATCAAGTATGTCCAAATCATCCAAATTTGTTCTCATAATACATTTATCATATTTTAACAGGAAAAACAAATTGTAGCCCTGGATATAAAAAAGCAGAAACAGGAAGGGGAAGCCTGGACTAAAACTGCAGCACCAGAAACTCAAAGCCTCTTCTCAAACACAATTCCAGAGGAGCAGAGCAACTGATAGGAGGCAGGGCAACTAGCTCTTGCTCAGGTCCCCAAATGTGATGTTTCCTTTTACAAATCTGTGCCGTCACCAATGCTGCACCCCCTGGTTTGGAATGTTACATCCATTTTCACCAGACTCCTTCTTCAAAATGCAGCTCAAAACTCCCTTTTAGTAGCTTTCTCTGATACTCCATCAGAAAGTTAATTATTTAAGTGTGATCCAGTAACAGACTCTATTCCTATTTCAAAACTTTTGTCTCACTATATTGTAAAATTTTAATCTATTTCTCCTACTATAACTTTCAGAGAGTTAGGTGAGAAGGATTTAAGAGAGAAGGTATAGGGGTGTGTGTGTGTGTGTGTGTGTGTGCATGTAGGGGTAAAAAAAAAAGCATAATTTCTTTGATTTATCAGACCCTTTCATGCATTTTAAAATTTGAAGTAGCATTAAAGAAAAGTATAAGATTTTTTTCACCTAAATAGTGCATGGGTTTTAAAAGCTGAGAAAAGGGACCTGAGTGGCTCAGCGGTAGAACCTCTGCCTTTGACTCAGGGTGTGATCCCGCGGTTCCAGGATTAAGTTCTACATTGGGCTCCTGTGGAAGGCCTGCTTCTTCCTCTGCCTGTGTCTCTGCCTCTTTCTCTCATGAATAAATAAATAAAATCTTAAAAAAAAAAAAGTTTAAAAACTCCAAGAAACACTAAGACATATGCCCTTAAGGGCAAGGACCACATTTTAATCATTTCTGTAGTCCCAGCACCCAGCACAAGACCAGGCACAACGTTGTGTGAATCAGTGTTTGTTGAATGAATATGCCTGACATCCCGATGTCATGTTAGAACAGAACAGACCCAGGGGCATATGGGTGGCACAATCATTTGAGCATCTGCTTTGGCTCAGGTCATGATCCCGGGGTCCAGCCCGATTCTCTCTCTCCCTCTGCGCTCCCCACCCTGACTTGTGCTCTCACTCTCTCTCTCAAATAAATAAAATCCTAAAAAAAAAAAAAAAAAAAAAAGAACAGAGCAGACCCTAAGCACCAAGCAAAGCTTTTTTTTTTTTTTTTTTTTTCCTATCTCCTTCCTAGCCCACCCCATTCTGTCCTCCCCAGTTAAAGACAGAGAGATACCACACTGCCTTGGTGCAGGAATACTATTAAAAGGATTAATTTAGGGACCGGTGTTTGGACTGTCACATCCAATCACTACCCACAGATCTACAGCTTCCCAAATCAAGCTCATGCAAAGAGGAATCAATTGCAAGGACACAGAGGGTCTGAACAGGCATACTAATGGCCTCCTGAGGTGCCAGCGGCCAGCTCTGACACTCCCATAAATTATCCGCCTTTTGATTTTACCTGTAGCTGTGGGGCACAAGGCACAATTTTGAACATATCAAAGCAATCTCTTGTAACCCAAGGCTCCCCTAAGAATGTCCCCAAAGGAGGAGGGGCTAAAAACAATGACCCAAAGGGAATCTGCTTCCCTGGTCCAGCAGTCATCAATGAAAACCCAACAGGACCAAGTGGACAAAGTGGGACCCAAATCACTCCTAGTGCATCTGGACAAAGCATGCATCAGTGTGCTGTTCTGCAATGACTACACATCTTTCACTCAAAGGAAGAGAAATCACAGCAATAAACGAACACAATTTCATCTGGAGGCAAATCCACTCTGACGGCACCTCACAGCATAACATGACCTCAGGCACCACACTTAACCTTCCAGGGCCTCAGTTTCCTCACAGGGGTAGCAGAGACAATAATACTGACCACCTGACTCATTCCCAGAGTGACGGTGAAAAGTAATAAAAAACATTCAAGAGGCACTTTACAAAGATATAGGGCCACAAGGGTGGCAACACTAATAAATAACCCTGACCAACTGGGAGAAATGACTGGTCACACTTTGGTGAATCTCTTTCAGATAGCTGCTCACTCGATTCACTTCACTGATGGTACTGGGGCTAAGGTCTATCCTGAAGAAAGTTCTGGTTTTCTGGACTCCTGATGCCCGAAAATTTTCAATTATGAAGAGTGGCCCCTTGCGTTAGTTATAACTTCCTCCTGTCTACTGGCTCTCACCACTAGTGGTTATATTTCTACCATATGGCCATAATGACAACTGTGAGGACCCAAAATAAATACTAAGCCAAAGCCCAACTCATCCATTTGTGGGCTGCTTTTTAAAAAAAATATTAATTGGGTAAAATACTATTAGTAACAAAAGTTATTAAAACACTTATCTCATTAAACCCATTAATCAACCCTCTTAAGTCGCATTATCTGCATTTCACAGGAAGGTAAAACTCAGAGAGGTAAGTCACTTGCCCAAGGTTACATAAATGCTATAATGTAGTTATCAGAAACCTACAGGCTTCCCTCTAGCAAGGCAAGTAGGCTTGCAGGAGGAGGAAGACAATCCATCAGACATTCAACAAACACTCTGGCTCCTGTGCCTGGCATATACTATCATATCTGAACCAGGAGACAGTCCCCAAACCAGAAAAAGGTCATCAATATGCTATAAGCAAGGAAAGTTAAGACTGAGTGGGACACGGGCAGCCCCCGGGTGGCTCACCGGTTTAGCACTGCCCTCGGCCCAGGGAGTAATCCTGGAGTCCCGGGATCGAGTCCCACATCGGGTTCCCTGCATGGAGCCTGCTTCTCCCTCTGCCTGTGTCTCTGCCTCTCTCTCTGTGTCTCTCATGATTAAATAAATAAAATCTTAAAAAAAAAAAAAAAAGACTAAGTAGGATATGTAACAGAATGATGACAATTCCCTAGAAAACTTAAGAAAATGGGTCCTCCTTTGTTTATATCGTTCAAAAAGTTTAAAGCAATTGACATTAAGCTATGAGCCCTAAGACCAACATTCCTACCAGAGATCCATTTATCCCCCACTTCTTTGATTAGAAGAGTTCCCCAAACCTTTTCATTCATTTTATACCTACATCTTTTCTAGTCTGTAAAATAGAAGCTGCTTTTACCAACAAATTCTTTGGTAGGCTTGCTTTAAGTTCTAGTTGATGGCCAGGAAATTAATAGATAACCAGTATATACAATTTGCAAAAATTCAGTTACACTCAATTTTTAAGTGTCAAAATACTGCCTCAAGGGGTAAATATAAAATGCCCCCCCCCCCATGTAACTGTCACAGGCTCCTTAACTGGTCTCTGCCTCCAGTATTGGCCCCTTCAGTCCATTCTTAATACTGAAATCAGAGAATATGTTCTAAAACACAAATCTAGTTATCAGTCCATGACTTAAAAAACTTTTTAATGGCTTCTTACTGCTCTTATGACAGTCTGATCCAGGTGTTGGCAAACTATGTTCCATGGGCCAAATCCAGCTGCCACTCATTTTTATAAAGTTTTACTCAAACATAGCCATGTTCATACATTTTTGTACTATAGCCACTTTCATGCTGTAACAGCGGAGTTGAATGGAGTTGTATAGTTGTGACAGAGACCCACAAGGCCTAAATCGTTACTATCTGGTCCTTTAAGAAAAAGGACCTAGTCTTTTGCTGACCTAGTCTAACCTTTTCTCTATTTACCACCTAATCCTGAGAGTTCATAAGGCCTTGGCCTCTGCTTACTTTTCCTGCTTCATTTCTCACCATATTCTCCAACCCCCTGCCTACTGATTATGCTGTTTTAATCACACTGAACTTCAGTTTCTCAAACTCAACAAAACTCTGACCTTCACACTTGGTCCCTCATGTTTTCATTTAATTCTAGATGAAGGGGTTCCTTCCTCTGAGAAGCCTTCTCTGAGCCTACAAGTCTGAGTTGAGGACCCTTGAGTACACCCAAAGCACCTAAATTTACCTTATTATAGTATTCCCAGAGTGTATCAGAACTGATTTTTTACTACCTATCTCTAGACACCTGAATTTGTAAGCCCTCTGGCATCAGAGACAGCAGCTGTCTTACTCCTACTACAGTTCCAGTCCTAGCAAAGTGTCTGGCCCTTCATTATTGAACAAACAAGACTCTGAGATCCTGGATATCAATCATCAGAGTCAGTCTTTTTAGCCAGCTCTGATCCTTGTAAAATGGAGACAGGCTGGGATTAACCATCCACCCAACGGTGACTCCCAACCCAAACCAAACCAAAATCCTAAAGGCCTTGGTCAAATGCATTATCAAAAGCCAAATCGATGTGTTCTTTCCTGTTATTTTTAAGCTGTGTATTTCTCAAGATGAAGGGTTATTCCAGCTCTATTCAGCCTTCCTGAACCTAAAGTAGGTGCTCATGCAATGCCCACAAAGAAATCATGACAGAACTTGAGAGTATGGATACCCTACCTCTAATTCTCACCACTTTATAGACTTTGGGTACATTTCAGTAGTCTTTGAGCTCATGGTGTCTAATCAGAAAAAGCCACAGAAAAATACAATCTACACCGACCACCATCCCCTCACCCTTCAAACCCAAATACTCATAAGAAAGAAGTCAAGCCAAACTTGACCATGAAAAAGATTCTCACCTCTCCTGACTTCGAAGATGCCAAGACTGCCAGCTGGGGATGCTGAAGGTTCTGTGAGAGCTGGAAAGCCCCAATGCTGTGGATAAATACACATCTCTGCAACAAGTCTATTTCAGTATAAAGGATCAAATCCCCTGGGGACTGCTGCTATTTGAAACAATTTAAGGACCATACCAAACCTCAAACCCCTAAACTCACACTACTTTGGGATAACAGTCATTTATGTGGAAGAATAATCCTGAATAGAGCTTTCAGAAGCTACTAGTACAATATATTTTTTGGAAGGATGAATTTCATGTTTTCTAGTAGCGTACCTTTCTTCCTAAGGAGGTTAACTCCTAGAAACACTAAACATTTGTAATATCTGAGCTTGGACCAAGAAAGTGGTGTTTCTCAGGATAACACCAGAATCCTAGCCTAATCAAGAAGAGGACACTGGTAAGGCTGACAATGTTCAGAACTCAGGAACTACGGACAGGATTGGGGGCGGGGCTGGTTTCCACAAACCCACAGGCCATACTGCAAAAGGCCAAAGAGACCTTTAAACACTTGCAATATACTTCCAGGTCCACCTCAAGTCCTAAGAAAGTCAAAGTGTAACCAAACCATAAGTCAAACCATTACTGGACACCTATCATATTTATCACCTAATTCAGATTTTCCAAAAGACTAGAGGCTGCAGAGGTGCTCTTGTAAGCTAGCAATGCCCTTTGCACAAAGAAACACTTGGGTTTGGAACCAATCTATTCCTGTATTCCTCTAGTCTAACACTCTATGCATTTAAGATTTTATGCTACTCAGATCCCCTGGGAAAGACCACTCACCGACTTACCCCACCACAAAGAAAACACTTTTCAAAATGAAGGGGAATAAAGGCACTTTTATTTGGAAATTTCAAGTTGGAAGGAGAGCTCTCAGCCAAGCTCTAGGACCTAGCTAGCCGATTATTTACAGGATCCTTGGGCAGGAATTGTTAATGAGCTTTTAATTTGGAGTGCTTAAGTTGCCAAAGTGCTCTGAGCTCCAGTGAAGCACCACAGAATCCATAAAGGAAACCTTATCAATCACTTCCCGGCAGCTCCCTTCCCCCACACCCCAACTCTCTGAGGAAAGGCAGCCAAGTGGGTTTCTAACCAAGATCACAGACACACACATTAGTGGAGTCACACTCCAAGTCCCTGTTTATAAATTGGCTTTTAAATGGTAGGGGATTCAGGTATAATATACTTAAGCTCCAGGCACGAACCCACTAAAACAAGGCATGCCATGTATGATAAAGTCAGAATAAAGCAGAATTTGATGAAGCCAATTTCTGGTAGAAACTCTACAATCAAAAACCACTCAGCCAATCACAACCTACTATAGTTCAAATAGTGTATAGTCTTTAGCCAATGGGATTCGTGGTTTTTTGCCCTTTAGCTCGGAGATTGCTAAAATGTCTGATAAGAGCTAATACCATAGAGGTGGCCAGAGACCTAGAGCAGAGACAATGATGGACATTATCAGTTTGCAAGAATCCAACCCTAAGGGTAGAACCCAAACCCCCCAGGAAGGGGCCACATTCAGCATCTTCCTTCCAAGTCAACCAGAAGTTACATTATGCAAGCCTCAATCCAAGTTCATGCTTTTTTGTTTTAAGAGAACACCTGTTGCTGGAACATTTGCAGTAAAAACAAAGAGAAAGCTAGCTAGGTTAGGCCCCTTATTCACTCCTTCCACCATCTACATCTACACCAGCTACAGATCTACCAAGAGGTGAAGTGCTAACCTCGTGTACGTGCTGGAGAGGTAAGAGTGGGGTTATTCTATCCGCTACCTCTTTGCTCAGTTTCTATTCTCCGTAGTCGAACCTCTCTTCCTCTTCCCTAGTAATCTCAAGTAAGAAGTCAGCACCCTAATCACCCCACCCAGTCGGTCTTCCAAAGCCCTGCCCCGCTCCCCCTCGGCCAGAACGTTACTCAGTAGATCATGCATCCAGGGCGAGCACACGGGCCAGCACCCCAGACTGCACAAACTGCGCGCCGCGACCCTCACCCCACATGCATTAACCAGGGCCCAATCTGGGGGGCCTCTCCGCATCACCCACCCCAGGGTGTTGCCCCCAACTCGGGCCCATCCAAGTCCAGGGGAGAGTAAGGGGAGGGGCAGGGGGCCAGGAGACCAGCCCTCCTTCCCAGGGCCGCCCCCGCCCCCCGTCAGCGGCGGGAGAGGCTGTCGCCATGGCAACGCCCCCTCCTCGGGGCCAGCGCGGCAGGCTCCCTCCAGGTGCAGGCCCCGACGTCTCCCTCGGCCTCAGCAGAAGCTCAGGGCAGTTTACGGCGGCGGGCGCGGCCCGCGCCGACTGCGGCGCCGGCCAGGCAGAGGCAAGGCCAGCTCCGCCCGCTCCCCACCGCCCGTTCCCGGCCGCCTCAACAGCGGCAGCCAGCACCACGAGTCCACAACACACCGACTCACCTCCGCGCACTCTGACCCCGGCCGACGCGACTGACGGGCGGGCGCGGTGGCCAACCGCTGAGCCCGCCGCTTTCGGCCCCGACCAATGGGCTGCAAGGGGGCGGGGCTTCTTCCCCCCAAATGCTCGCTCTCCCGCCGACATGCGCGCTAAAGTGTGTCAAGATGGTGCCTCCCCGCGGCTGGCCTTATGGGACTTGTAGTTTTGAGGTTGCACGTACTCAGAAGAAAGTGAAGGGGGAGCTCGCTCACGAGCTGGAAAAGAAATGTTTTAAATAACGAAAACTTTCTAAGGCCTAGAGCGACCCAGGCCCCCCTCTTCCGTTTCCCCACCTCCCAATATACTTATGAGGTGAGTATAGGCTCATAACACGACGGGTTCGATTTAGGGGACACCTTCTCGCGACTTGTTGGTTCAACAAGTCATTATCCTCCACTCTCTGAGGGAGGCCTGGGGAGAGCTGAGAGGAGGCCGATTTTAGGCTAAGTAGAAGATCCTTCGATTTTGGAGGGCCTTCCTACGGAAGAGAGAACGGATTTGTTTGAATTGGCCCCGGAGGTAACGGCGGAGTTGAAAGGATCCCGGCCTCCAGCTTCGGGAGCTACCGCATCTGTTCTGTCGTCCAGAGAGAAGTCTAGCTAAAGCCAGAGAGGGGCTCCTTCATCTTGTCATCTTCAACTCGTTGGGAAGTTATGGGTAACAGGTTCTAGGGGGGAACCCCCAGCCCTGGCCGAACCGGTGATGGCTCCAACAGCTTCCCAGCCAGCCAGGAGGAACCCTCCCGGCCCAGCTTTGGTCGTCAAGCCCCCTGTTTTCCATTTGCATATTTTCACATAAGAAAATGATGTCACTTCCGGGCCCAGCTTTGGTCGCCAAGCCCTCTCTCTCTGTCATTTGCATATTTTCGCATAACAAAATGATGTCACTTCTGGGCCCACCATTTCTGTGAGATCTGACCTTAACGTAATGGTTCCTGCCTGAGCTGGGAATGCTTGGGAATACCATATTAAGGGAATGTCTTGCTCAATCCCGCCTAACGGGTTAGGCGTTTCTACTCTGCACCTAGAGTTCATCGTGTTGTTTTGTAATTACCGATTTCCTTGTTGTCTCTCCCCCCCCCCCCCCCCCGCCCCCAGGGCTGTAAATTCATTTAAGGTAAGCATTACTTCTGTATTGTTCATGGGTGTCGGTAATTCCCAGCGCAGTTCCGAATATAAAGCAGGAATCTGGTAAATGTTTGTGGACAAAGGAGGAAATAGACGTCAGCAAGGACAGATGTCACTTAACCCAAGGTCAGTAAAGTGGAGACATACCTTCCTATTCTCTGATTTTTGGAGCTGGGATTGGGTCTTCTTGCTCCTGTTAATGTCATCTAGACATTAATTGTGGTTGATTAGTCAACATATATTTATAATGCCTCTGCTAAGCGTCGGGCACTGTTTCTGGTGCTAGGGATTCGCTAGGGAATAAGGCACACCTGTATCCTTGAGGCGCCTTTATACTGGGAAGGGGAAGGGAGAGGCAGAACAAACAATAAATAAGTAAGCAGATAAATTAAATTTGGCAAATTAGAGGCCCTGAGATGGTCCCTCCTGTCCCTGTCTTTCATATGTCCTGAATCTGGCCTAAAAATAGGGCACAATCAACCTTCCTTGCTGTTAGAATGAAGTCAACCTACAGTATCTGAATTGGAGATTTCCTTTAAGGCCCAGCACCAATATCCTCCATGGAGCCTTCCATGGTGCCCTTAACTTCCCCAGCATGTGCTCTTTCCTCGGTGCTCTAGAGCTCACCCCTACACTTCCAGGACCTCACCAAACTATGTTATATATAAGCTCTTTTTGGACAAATTCCAGGCAGAGTGTATTCAAATAATAGAACAGTTTGGGACGCCTGGGTGGCTCAGCGGTTAAGCGTCTGCCTTTGGCTCAGAGCATGATCCTGGGGACCCTGGATCGAGTCCCATGTTGGGCTCCCTGCATGGAACCTGCTTCTCCCTCTGCCTGTGTCTCTGCCTCTCTCTCTCTCTCTCTCTCTCTCTCTCTCTCTGTCTTTCATGAAGAAATCTTTTAGAAATCTTTTTTAAAAATAGATCTTTTTAAATCTTTTAATCTTTTTAAAATCTTTTTAAAAAATAAAATAATAGAACAGTTTAAGAGATGAGTATACATTGGTGCCTTACACTGCTGCCTAACATACATTTGGTTCCCTTAACCCTTTGGCTCTGTTGTAATTCCCTCTGTTTTCTGATTTCCTAGAAAACAGAGCCTAAAGTAAAGCTTATATGGTAAAACTTCATTGGGAAATATAATCCCAAGGCAGCAAGAGTTGAGGAGACAAAGGCAAGTGAGGCAGAGAAGAAAAAGAAGAAAATACAAGGTTGTATGTGAAAACAGAAACACAGCTAGTTTCTCTGTCATGGAGGCCATATAGAACCATCACTTTTAAAAGGAAAGGGGAAAAAAATAAAAATAAAAAATAAAAGGAAAGGGAGGTTGTGTTACCCCAAGCACTCCGGTAGCCACAGGGGGCGCCAGATCCCACACCCTAAAAGCACAGGGATTCATCTGAGACTAGAAATGATGAGAGGAGTCACAGCCCTGGTTTGGCCAAATTGGGCCCATTGCAGTCCCCGTACAGTGGGCACACGGGAAGCTCTGTCAAAACGTAACCCTCCTCCCGAGGAGGCTAAGACAACCAGCTGTGTTAGTAAATGAGGTGACAGTAATGGCAGCTGGGCTGTCCAGAAGACAAGTGGCCAAGGCACGGGGTGGGGGTACAGATGGGGCAAGTGAATTTTTGGAGGCAGATGAACTGAGTCCAGGACACAGGCACAGATATTCCTTGGGCAGCCTCCTGGCTGACGGATGAAGTGACTGAGCCAAAGTGAACACAGAGCAGGAATTAGACGGCCAGGTTGATTCTTCTGCTGCTCTGTGAAACCACAAGGGAAAACAGCAAGATGGCCAGCAAAGCTGGGACCTTAACCAGCAATGGAGGAGACCCAAGGACAAGGACCCAAGGACAGAGCCGGCATGACAGCCCACAAACTTGACAAGGCTGAACGAACCCAGGCTAGGTCTGAAACCATTTTATCTAAAAATGGGGAAAACTGTAAGCTGCGTAAGCCCACGCGGTGCAGTTAGGAGTGTGAGCTCAGAGACAGCCTGCTCAGGTTTGAGTCCTAACTCTGTGACCTTAGGCAAGCCACATACCTCTCTGAGGCTGCACTGCTTCATTTCTAGAGTGGAGGTAACACTAGTATCTACTTATTAGAATTAAATACAAACACGCTTAGTATAACATCCAGCAGAAAGAGTTCAGTAAATACTGGCTGTTATTACTATTATTCTTGCCCCTCCCCCATGCCTCTGTCCAACTCCTCTTCCCACCACCACCCCCCCCCCCAATCCTCTGCCCCCAACAGTCTCTGCTGCAGGAGCAGTGGGAGCCAGACCTGGTTGTGCCTTCTCTGCCTGGCTTTCCCCAAGGCTGTTCCCCATGAGCCCAAGCCATTCATCTCCCTGGTGACCTGAATCTGAACTGAGAGATGGATGTGGGGTGGCTGAGGCCAGGGTGGTAATGTGCTCCCTTATCTCTGTGCCCCTCACTGGGGCCCAGTTAATTTTCCCTTTGATTTTAATATAGATTTATTGAAAGTTTCAGTTATCAAAACAAACTGCGGCAGCAAATTGGTGTTCTTTGCAGGCCTACAAGTGCCTATAAAGCTGCCATGCTCGGGAACGAATGGCGCTCTCCGGGAGGTCAGTCATGGCAACAGGAAGTCCCTGGGGACACACACACTGCAGTTTAATATTTTTCTTATTAGCCTTTTTCTTCTTGGCCATCTAAGCCTCCCCTTTAAATCGGAAATCAAATGGAGCCACCTGCCCAGGGAGGCTCTCTTCCCCCAAGCTATTCCACCCTGCCTTCTCTGTCCTAGCCTCCCTGCCTCTCATCCTCAGACTTCTCCCTGCCTTGCCCACTGTTCCAGAGGACGTGGTGATTCACATGGCCCAGGGGTATGGCTCACAGCCCTACCCTAAGTATGGAAGCTTGGCTTGGGCTGTCTAGTCCACTCTAGTCAGAGGCAAAGCATCCCTAGAAAAGATTGGGGGCCCCAGACCTCTTCTAGATATGATGCTCAGAGGGGAGGGAAAAGACAAGTTTTTAAAGCAAAAGAGGTGTTTCAAAAAGGCAGACAATCCTGTCAGGGTGTATTGAACTCAATAGAAGCAAAAAGGAGACTGGGCAGGTTTTCCTTCCAGCCCCTAAACTGTCTGATTTCATTCCCATTTCCCTACTCCCATTCCCAATATGGGCTCTCCTCTCACTCCCAACTTGATTTTTGAGACACACCCCCCCCCTCCAATTCTCTGGTCCCAATCTGCCTCTCTAAGAAGCAGCCTGGTTTCTTGCCTCCAGTGGCTGACAGAACTAGAACCACACACTGCCACCTCTAGGCACTGGAATCAGTCTTGTCCTGGGGGAAGGCCTCCATGACCTGATAACCCTGAGGCCACCATCATCTATCTCTTCTTCTGGACCTGGGCTGCTGCTGGGTCACCTGTACATGTCCCATCCCAATTCCCAATGTCCTCTTCTTGCTCTT